CCAGAAGTCTGCTGTTTGCTTTTGAGTCCATGGATGACTGTGTTTGTACTCTCACCTTCTTATTTTTTCCAAAGATTCTCTCTCTGCTGTGTGTTAAAATCTCTTTTGTATCAATAGTTCTTTGTTGCAGGCTGTTTTGCCATTTTTCTCTTCACTATTTCTACTTACCTGGGTTGCCAGGAGTGAGGTGACTGAGGGTTATATAAAAATGAGTGTCACTCTGTAGAAATTTTGTGAATCATTCTTTCTTTTTTTTTTTTTTTAATTTTACACATCTGTCAACCTGTAGGATTGTGAATCATTCTTAAGTGTTTTATTTCAGCTATGTAAAAGGAAGGATGGATGGAGCTCAGGTGATTTTTTTTTTTTTAAAGGAGTAAACGAGGTGACAGTGGCTGGGAACAGAACACTCCAGTCAGCTACACCAGATTTCTACTGAGACTGTCAAAAGGGAGAAGTGGCCCTCAGATGGCAGTCCTTGCCATGGTGGCTGAAGATAGAATTAATTATTTCTTTGGGTTTGGGGAGAACTTACCCTTTTGTAAGACCATTTTCTGTGTAACATATATTGTAGTATTGTGTGAAAATGTTAAAATTGGTGTAGTGGCACAAGCTTGCCTAGTTAAAAATACTCATTTTCACACATTTTTGCCTTAGTTAAAGCTCAAGAAAAAGAGGTTATGTGCTAACAGATGTCTGTTTTGCTGAAAAGCCTAAAGAAAATGGGAATTTAAATGGCTAGTAGAGTTTAGTATGGATTGATTTAGTAGAGAAATACTAAAATATGTTAGAACCCAGGGCTTTGAGACTCTCTGTCCTGGATTATAACCATGATCTAGTTACATTTATTTGCCCAGTTTAAGGAATGACACATTCTGCATAAGAAAATTTCCCGGTTAACTGAAACTAGGTACCTTTCTGACAGTCAAGCCTCCTTTTTAATTTGATTTTAATTTCTGGGTGTCCAAAAAGTTAGGAAACATAGGCTAATAAGCTCATTTTAAAATAGTATGTTAAGTTTTCAAATAATAGTCTCAATTGATTTTTATCCTCCGAATACCTTTTCAGGTGAAGTCACTCTAAATTTAAAGCAGTCTATCTAGCTATTAATCTGGAAAATAAATATGCCATTTGTCCTATGTTTCCCTGAATTTCCAATTGAGATAGGAAATATGAATTACTTCGTTTGCTAATATACAGATCACTTGGAAAATAACTGAATCGTATATTGATGATACAGGGTTATTGCTGGGACAACCTGCTATTTGCTGTTAAATTGTATAGATGTGATTTGACTCCAGTACTGTTGTTGCATTCTAAGCAGTTTGGGTTTAGGGCTTTTTCTGTATGTGTGTTTGCTTTTCATAGTTTCTGTTTAGCTCTCAGGCTTTCAGCAGCCACTTTTTATTAACATCACTTTGCTTAATTCCTGCATCCTCATTCTCACTATCCCTGTAATTAGTTGCTTCTAATCTGCGTAGGAAATCTGATAAGTTAGCTTGTTAGATTTGTTTCCAATTGATAAGTAGAAACACTGAGTAGGAAGGACTTTTTGAGCTCATTTTTAAAAATCTTGCATTGGCTGTTTAGTGTGCCCTTTTCTCCTTCCCTTCCTTGGGAGCCGTTTCCATACAGATACTCAGTGAAAGCCGTTTCTGTACAGATCCTGAAGGTGCTTTCTCACTGCAGTTTCATTTAGAGTGCACTGTTTTATAACATCTTCAGTCAATTTGGGCAAGTAATAATTAACTTTTAACAATATATGCTCTTAGAGGACAGAAACAGAACCACTTCTATTTTGTTTGTGCCTTCCCTGTGTGTGCTTATCTGCCCTGCAGGTTTTTGTGTGGCATCTGGCGCAGCAGCATGTGTCACAATTGCGGTTTCTCTGGCCTCTGGGTCATTTTTTTGCCCTGCTTAGTGGAAGTTTACCCACACATACAAGGTCTAGAAGTTAGCACATTTCTGGAGCTCTCTTTCTGTGTAGCTTCCTTGTTGCTAAGCTCCGTTCTGTTATTTCTAGCACCCTTAGTCTCCCTGAACTCTGTTCTTTATTATCTCAACTTAACAAGGCTACCAGGTTTAATTTGGGTTCCTTTTCCTTATATTTGGTGGCCTGAAAATTGTCTCTAGGCAGAGGGTTGGGGTGATTGTGTAACTCACCTTGCTTCTTTCTCATCTTTCAGGGATCACAGTTCTGCACTGCCTATGTCTAATGTCTGCAAGTAGTTGTTAAATATATTATCTCAGGTTTTCTAGCTGTTTACTGCAAGAGGTTAAATCTGGTCCTTGCTATTTTATCATTGCTGCAAGCAAAAATTCCAGAAATTTCATTGGAATTGGTCCCTTGAAAATAATTCTTAGCAACTGAATACAATTCTAAATGGCATGCCTGCATATGTTAGAAGCCTGAAGTAAATAATTTACATGAGTCTTTGAGTGAAGCATACTAGTATCCTATGTCCCTCATTCATTTTTTTTGTTTGTGTTTGGAGACAGAGTCTCACTTTGTTGTCCAGGCTAGAGTGAGTGCCGTGGCGTCAGCCTAGCTCACAGCATCTTCAAACTCCTGGGCTCAAGCAATCCTCCTGCCTCAGCCTCCCAAGTAGCTGGGACTACAGGCATGCACCACCATGCCCAGCTAATTTTTTCTATATATATTAGTTGGCCAATTAATTTCTTTCTATTTATAGTAGAGATGGGGTCTCGCTCTTGCTCAGGCTGGTTTCGAACTCCTGACCTCGAGCGATCCGCCTGCCTCAGCCTCCCAGAGTGCTAGGATTATAGGCGTGAGCCACCACACCCGGCCCTCATTCATTTTTTTAACCTTCCCACAGACTGAGACTGTTCCTGCCTTAAAGCAGAATAATGATTATGGTTTTTCAACATAATTGAATAATGACAGCACTCTTGGAGCTTCCCAAAGGACAGATAGGCTGAGCTCAGTCCTTGTCACTGCTAATGCTGGCATTGCTCAGTGGGTGACCTCTCCTTTGGATTGTTCTTGTTCTTTACATTAGACTTAAATTTTACTCTTGGGAAGACCCTTATGAACTTGCTCTGCAGTTCATGAATCACTTTCTGAATCCACATGGGAAGCCTGTGCTAACAGAACACTCACTGCACATCCGAATCAGTAAAATAAATTGATGTGTGAATTGAAAGAAGCATCTTGAAACACGTAGCAAGATAAGACAATCTGGGAGATTTAAAGGCATGTCGAATGAAAGAAGCTAATTTGCATAAGGACATGGATTTGTAAGGATGTTGTCACCCCACCCCCTAATCTTGCCCCTAAATAAACTAAGCCATGTAATTTGAAGTGCATTGCTGGTGCGTTTTAAGGAGTGCTGGGAGCATTGGGGTTCTGAGTAGATATAAGACTTAGCTGTTGATAGTTTAAGTTAAGAAGCATCCAGTTTAAGGAAAATAGGGTAGTGTTTGTATCTGTTTGTGGTTTATAATTATTTACCTCAGACCTACTGGTAAAGATTTAATGCTTTTTTTCAGAAGTCATGAATAATGCCAGGTATAGATGTTAGTCTTCCTTCCTTCCTTCCTCCCTTCCTCCCTTCCTCCCTTCCTCCCTTCCTCCCTTCCCCTTCCCCTTCCCCTTCTTTCTTTTTTCCTTTCCTTTTTCCCTTTCTTCTTTGTTTAGCCTCCTGGGTGATTTACACTTGCTACATAAGTCTTCGGTACTTGGTACATAAGCTTTAATTTCATGTTATTAAAATGTTGTTGATAAATATATTGATTTTTAAGAACACAAATAAATTTTTTCTTTTTAATTTTAAATGTAACTTTAAGAGTATTGATTCGATCCATGGCTGTTTAGAAAATTCAGAAGTTAATGAACTTATGAAAAAATATTCAACTTCACTAAAAGAAAAATACATCAAAGAAGCAGCATTATTTTCTTCTTCTTCTATGATGCATTTTCTTCACCTGCCAAATTGGTTGAAGTTTAAAAATTACACTGTTCAGTGTTGGCAAGGATGTGGCAAGATGGGTACTTGTTTGAAGTTCCAGGAAAAATGTACATTTACATAACCTTTCTGAAAATAAGTTTGGCACTATACATCAAGCACTTTTATACTCTTTGACTCAGTAGTATTGCTTCCAGGCATTTCTCTCTTAAAATTGTTTGACAGTCAAAAAATGAATGTAGGAAGGTGTTTGTTGCAATATTATTTCTAATGGGGTAGTATTAGAAACACCCCAAATATCTGCAGTGAGTGTTTCAGTTGGAACATTTTCCAATTATGAAGTACCATACAACTATTGTAGTGGTGTTTATGAAAAATATTTCATCACAAAGGATAAATTTTTACATATTTAAAGTAAGCAGTATTCCAAAATGATTCCAAGTCTCATCTTGGCTATTATTAAAATATGCCAGGCGGGGTCAGTGGCTCACACCTGCAACCCAGCACTTTGGGAGGCCGAGGTTGGAGGAGATCACTTCAGGCCAGGAGTTCAAGACCAGTCTGGGCAATGTAGGAAGACCCTGTCTCTACAAAAAATAAAAAATGATCCAGGTGTGGTGGCGCGCGCCTGTAGTCCCTGCAACTCAGAAATTGAGGCGGGAGGATTGCTTGAGCCCAAGAGTTTGAGGCTGCAGTGAGCTATGATGATACCACTGCACTCTAGCCTGGGTGACAGAGTGAGACCCTGTCTCTTAAAAAAAGAAAAAATGCATGAAAGAATAGTCAGAAATATTCCAAAATGTTAAAGTAAATGTTTCTAGGTGGTGGTTTATGAGAGATTATTGTCGTCGTCTTCATATTTTCTCTTTTCCAAAATTGGAGTGGGAAAGCATTCTGTGGATATGTGAAAGCAAGCATGATCTGGATTTACTGAGGGTTTCTAGACCCTAGAGAGGTACCTCAGATTCCAAAAGAGCTGGCAAATCATGTCATCTCTAAGACTAGTTGTTGTCTTACGTTCAGGTGAAAAAGTACTTTAAGAAAAACTCCATAATTTTTGTGCTTACTGTTTAGATAAAAATTTTGATGATGAAGATTCTGTGGATGGTAATAGACCTTCCTCTGCTAGTTCTACATCATCCAAGGCTCCGCCAAGCTCACGGAGAAATGTTGGAATGGGGACCACCCGCCGACTTGGATCATCTACTCTTGGATCCAAGTCTTCAGGTAAGTCCAAGCCCTGCGTGATTTCTGGGGTCAGCTGTGCCAGCTTTTCAAACCAGAGGTAAATCATGCCCCTCAGAAGGGATATAATCCCTGTATGCAACATGTTTCTGCTTGCTGTTCTTTAATTGAATCAGCACTGCTATGCCAACGCTAATAAACTGGTGGGATGTAAGTTTGAGCTGTGGTGTTGACCTTTGCCACATTCTGGCAAGGCAAAAACTGTAGGAGAGTGAAGCCAACTCACAGGAAAGCATGGATCAGAAATAAAGAGCGAGGGCTCACCCTGGTGGCATTATTTGGTAATCTGGATCCAGCTGTACCCGAAACCACCATGGAACTGGGAATAATCCAGAAGTTAGATTGTGTCTTCTGTCTTTAAAATATATTTTGTTCTTAAAAGTAACATTGTTCCTCGTGAGACCAGTATGGATGTTGAATTAAATAAATGGTGGGAGATTAGCTCTCTGAAGCTTTGATGATAGATTTACAAAGATTTCTTCCCCAAATCCCTCCATTCCCACCCTCCCAATCTAGACAACTTGTCATTATACAACACAACTCTTATTTTGGTATCAAATTTTAAATTTACGAGCCATGAAACCAAAGCTGAATGGCCTACATGAAAGCTGCACTGAGAATGAACATTATTAATAGAATGCTATCTCCTGGTGGTCTCTCCTGAATTCTGAACTGGCACTACAGTATTGGTATCTAGACTAGCCCTGCTTGGCGCCACTACGCCTCCTGACCCCACAGAGTTGCTGTACTGCTGGCTGCCAAAAGTGAAATTCATGGCAGGGATGGCAGAAGAGAAGTGCTGTAAGAAGCAAACTTCTGTCTTCAGTTTGCTTTTAAAATATTTTTATTTTTTGTTATTGAGCTTAAATTCATGTAACATAAATTAACCATTTTAAAGAAAACATTTTTAATGTTTCATCTACCTTATAACATGTATCAGTATGTCATTCCTTTTAATGGCTGAATAATTGTTTTCATCCTTTTTCTTAATGTATTCTTGGGTAATTATCAGTTCTACAAACAAGACTTAGAAAATTTTTGCATAATCAAACCACTGCTTTCCTTCCCATCCCTCTCCAATACCCTTTCCAGAAAGGCCCCCCTCCCCAGTGTAGATTATGCAGAAATGTCAGCCTTGTCTTTCCTTTTGGCCCTGCTCTCATTCTTTTTCTATTTTGTTTAACACGATAGTCATGACTTTCATGTTTGACTCTTCCTTGTCAGATTTCTTGGGCTCAGGGACTATTGTTGGTTTTTTAGTCCTTTTAGGTATATGGGTACATGGTGCAGTGCTTTATGTATAAGATCCATTCAGGTCCTATCTGCTCAGTGGGATCCAATCCTTGTGCTAAAATAGGCACACAGCACCACATCAGTGGGTAGCTGTCATCCCTTTACAGTTAGCTTGTCAACACAGTGTTAGTATCTTCATCAAGAATGATGACATAACATTTACTGGTGCCTGGATTATCTTTAAAAGCCTTTTCTGTCTAGGCAGGCTATCAGGACCCCTAACGCCACATACATATCTGGGAAGATGCTCTTAGAAAAGTATTCAGACTAATCAATGTAAATCATTAATGTGGCTACAAGGATGACTGTAGATGCCAGGTTTTTTGTTTGTTTGTTTTTTTTTAAATATACCAATCTGCCCACTGAGGTAGACACCAATTTTGAAAGCCTTATTATGTAAAGAAAAATCTGATTAAAGCATCACCTGATTTTCATGCATAGAGTTCATATTAGCTAAAAGAGCTTTTTCCAAATAATAGCGGTTAACTTTTAAATATACAAGGTACCTTAGGATAACTTTGTAGAGGAAACTTATAACTGATACTTAAATGAAAGATTGACGTAGTATCATGAATTCAAGAAAATGGAGATGTTTTGAAACTAATATAAAATTGAAATGAAACTGTTAAAATCCTTTAGAACTTTTTTTTTTTTTCTTTTTTTTTGAGACAGAGTCTCGCTTTGTTGTCCAGGCTAGAGTGAGTGCTGTGGCATCAGCCTAGCTCACAGCAACCTCACACTCCTGGGCTCGAGCGATCTTCTCCTCAGCCTCGCCTCGCGAGTAGCTGGGACTACAGGCATGCGCCACCATGCCTGGCTAATTTTTTATATACATATCAGTTGGCCAATTAATTTATTTCTATTTATAGTAGAGACGGGGTCTCGCTCTTGCTCAGGCTGGTTTTGAACTCCTGACCTTGAGCAATCCGCCCACCTCGGCCTCCCAAGAGCTAGGATTACAGGCGTGAGCCACCGCGCCCGGCCCCTTTAGAACTTTTTAAATCTATTTCACAAATTTGTTTATACAGGATTCCCAATAATAATATAATCTAATTCCCCGAAGAATTAAATTTTATATATATTTATTAGAAATCTTTCAAAAGATTTGTATATTAATTAATACAACATAAAGGAAGCATGTAAGTCCTTTAAAACCTACACTCTGCCTGTTTAAACAAGTATTCTCTCTAAGTGACCTTAAGCTAATGTGTATAGCATGGTAGGATTACTGTACTTCAACTTAAAGCAGTAATGCTTGCCAATTTCATGACACTCCAAATTCATATGAAGCCTTTAAAAAAATAGTTCTAAATCTTCCAAAATGCAATTTTAATTATGTATTTTCAGACTTCTCCAATATACATTTTATACATTGTTGGTTGCCTTGTTTATATTTTAAAAATTAATCTTTTTTACAGCTGGAAAAGAAGGAGCTGGTGCTGTCGATGAAGAGGACTTTATTAAAGCATTTGATGATGTACCTGTAGTACAGGTGAATGAGGGTATTTGTGTATGATTAAAAACAGGGGCAGACTTATTCTTCAAATTTCATTTTTCAAATATGTCATATGTGGAGTTCTTTACTAGGTCAGGTAATTTTAACTATCAAGACTATAGGAACTCTGAGATACAGACTAGAAAATGTTGGGGCAAAAATCCAAGGACCAAGATGATCTTTCAGTAAGAACAGGAGAAATGTTGGTTGCTATAGTATTAAATTTGTGGGTCAGGTCACATAAAAGAGAAAGAAATAGACAATTAGGCTAAATGAAAGAATAAAGAAGCATATTTACTTAGGGCTTTTTCTTAGGAAAAATCAGTAACTTTGAAGGATTTTTGTACCTGAAAAGCTATAGAGAATGGTTTAATAAAAGCCTAGTTTATACCTTCTTTGATACTTCACTTTAAGTATTAAATACCTAACAGATAAAACAGATTATTTATAAAGCTTAGGATAGTCACACATTTTTTGACTACTCTGCTGCCAATTGGGGCTAATACTTTTTCTCAGCCTACATTGACTGTACTTTGGATTCCTTTATCACTTACTGTTCATTATATACAACTTTTCTTCCTACCTTGGTTGCCATATGTGTATAAAGCAGGTAACAAGCATCTTAGGCCCAGGTTCATCCTTAAGTATTTGACCTTCCAGCATGCATCATGATTGATTATACCCTGCCTGTTTTCTAAGTGAGATATAGGGATAAATGAGAATGTATATTTGAAAGTATTTAAAATTATAGTTATAATGTGATGTTATAAATAATACTGAGAGTAATACCCTATTTTCCACTAGACTTCTTTCTCTTTTGTACATGAAGTCATGTAAGTTTATAGTAAAGCTGTGTTTGAGGCAAAGTTATTCACATGTGGCAGGAAATCCAGTGGCTGCTCATTCACAGTGGGAAAGAAGCTCATTCCTAAGACATTTTTTAGATATTTTCTCATAGGTATTTCTTAAAAATGAGATAATTTATTTTACTATACTTATTAAATGCTCTTGACTAATGTAATTAAGAAGTAGTGTTTGTTTATTCTGCAAATGTTTTTTATATTGATTGTAAATTAATTTTGCTTACAGATTTATTCCAGCCGAGACCTTGAGGAATCCATAAACAAAATTAGGGAAATATTATCTGATGACAAGCATGATTGGGAGCAGAGAGTAAATGCTGTAAGTTATTGACTTCATGTGATTGCATTTTCATTAGATTTATTTACATATCTCAAATACTTTATTATGAAATTGGGAGATAGTGCTAATGAATTTTAAATAGTACATATTTTAAATATGAATTACATTTTATCCCTTTTTAGTTGAGTATCTCACTTCTTTTTTTATTTTTAAAACATACCAACTAAAACAAACAAAAAGCACCCACATCATACCGATATATATACCTTTATGTATCTCCTATTCTTTTAACAAAGACCTAATTGTAGAATGATGTGATGGCCTCCACACTTCCCTTACTAAAGATTTAATTCTGTGATGATTTGCTAGTAAAGCAGTGTTTTAATGGCATTTTTAGTGTCTATCCCTCAATATTCTTTTTTTTTTTTTTTTTTTTTTTTTTTGAGACAGAGTCTCACTTTTGTTGCCCAGACTAGAGTGAGTGCCGTGGCGTCAGCTTAGCTCACAGCAACCTCAAACTCCTGGGCTCAAGCGATCTTCCTGCCTCAGCCTCCCGAGTAGCTGGGACTACAGGCATGCACCACCATGCCCGCTAATTTTTTTATCATACTTTTAGTCGGTCAATTAATTTCTTTCTTTTTAGTAGAGACGGCGGTCTCGATCAGGCTGGTTTCGAACTCCCGACCTCGAGCAATCTGCCCGCCTCGGCCTCCCAGAGTGCTAGGATTACAGGCGTGAGCCACCGCGCCCGGCCTATCCCTCAATATTCTTTTCTTTCTTCAAATCACTTGCTAGAAAGTTGTGTCTCTTCTATTTTTTTTTTTATTTTTTTTTTGAGACAGAGTCTCGCTTTGTTGTCCAGGCTAGAGTGAGTGCGGGCGCAGCCTAGCTCACAGCAACTCAAACTCCTGGGCTCGAGCGATCCTTCTGCCTCAGCTCCCGAGTAGCTGGGAACAGCATGCGCCACCATGCCCGGCTAATTTTTATATATATATATCAGTTGGGCCATATATTTCGGGTATTGTATAGTAGAGATGGGGTCTCGCTCTTGCTCAGGCTGGTTTTGAACTCCTGACCTTGAGCAATCCGCCCGCCGCCCGCCTCGGCCTCCCAAGAGCTAGGATTACAGGCGTGAGCCACCGCGCCCAGCCTATTTTTAAAAGTAGATTAAGGAAAAGTAGGCTGAACAATTGTGAGGATGGGTCTTATCTGAGGAAAGCTGTTTTACATTGGCCAGCAAGAAGAGAAATGATAAAATTGCTGTTGGGTAATGTTTCTAATTCAGACTAGTTAGTTAATGAATGATGCAGTAGGGGATAATATAGAAATACTGTAGGAATGCTTGATTTGATTCATTAAATAAGTGCTAAGTTGGAGTGGAGTGTGGAGGAAGGTAAGCTTGGAGGGGCTTTTTATAAGCCATAAGAACAGTTTTCAGTTATTTATCATTAGTATCAATAGATTCTATAAATACATTCAGATATTTTCAATTAAAGAAAACATTTTTTGTAGAAATTATATGTATCACAGATGCTGCATTTAAAAAATTATCTGGCTTTATTTGCATATATAGATTTGCTCATTGTATTAGCTAATATTTAACTGGCTGAATTGGGAAAACTTTCAGTTAATCTTCAGTGTTGATCTCTTTTATATTTGATGATTTCTATTGTTTCATCTTTTCTGTGTAAGAATTGTTTTGTATATCTCTGAATTTTCTGTATCCCATTAGCTAAAAAAGATTAGATCTTTACTTTTGGCTGGTGCTGCTGAGTATGATAACTTCTTTCAACATTTACGTCTTTTGGATGGAGCCTTTAAACTCTCTGCTAAGGATCTGCGGTCTCAGGTAGTGCGGGAGGCTTGTATCACTTTAGGGTAAGGACTTCAATGTTCCCTATTCTCAAACATACACCATAAAATAGTCTTACCATGGAGCTTCAAAGGCGGTTGCTTGAGCATGCGAGCTGGGTCTCTTTCATGTAACTTTTGACTACTCTCGAAGACCCATTCCAGTTAACACTTCTTTCACTACTTCTATAATATTTTCTGCCCAATTATGTAAAGTGTGACAGATTTTAAGTTTTATTTTATTCAATGACATTGCTCTGAAGCCTCTATGTTAAACTGAAGCAGTTATTTAATAATATGGAAAAATGAAATTTTATAAAATTCTATTTCTCAAATTTTTCATTGACATTTGCTGGCAGGATATAGTATGATTATCAGAATGAGTTTTTTAGAAGAGTACTATAGTTATAAAATTAAGGACATGTGCTGCAGTAAAATTTTATTGTAGCTACACCTGTATCAGTGATCCAAGTTGAAACTTGTGTTAGAATGTATGTCAGAAAGTCAAAGAACCAGCAGCAATAAGGAGGCCTCGTAGCTGTTTAAAGTTTTGGCTGTAGTCAGATATTGAAGCCTGAATGTGTTAAAGATAAAAGGGCAGAAGAAAAAAAAGGCAAAGGGAGCTTTTTCAGATTTATATTTTATTAGTATATGGTCAATTTGTTTGTTTTTTACTTTTTACTGCTTTTACTGTTTTAGTTAGAAATGACTAAGAAAAAACTTTGGGGCTAATGACTATTTGCCGAGTGCTCTACATGCACATTAGAAATAGTTTTATCGTGTCTTATTTAGACCCTGTCCTTTATCCCTAGATAACTTTAAATGAAGGCTCTAAAATGTTAAGTGATTTATATGCTTTGCTGATTCAAAGAAATGTAACTACAGTCTAGTATCCATTTCTTATTGTAGGCATTTGTCATCAGTTCTGGGGAATAAGTTTGACCATGGAGCTGAAGCCATTATGCCAACTATCTTTAATTTAATTCCAAACAGTGCCAAAATTATGGCCACTTCTGGTGTTGTAGCTGTTAGGTTAATTATTCGGGTAAGTATGTTGTAGGACCATATGTAAAATAAGCAAATGGTAAATTTTGATAGTTGATAAGAAATATTACAGGCATTTAAAAAAAATATATAAGTAGTTTATTTGGGCCAAATTTGAGGACTGCAGCCTAAGAGTATAGATTTGAGTTTCCCTGAATGTATGCTCCCACATTTTTCATTAGAGTGATTATATACTGTTGGAATCATGTTGTACATACATTATCGTCTTTTCCCACATTTAGTTATAACATACAAGTTTTTATTATTAATCCATAATGTGAATTGTGGATGTGATGTAAAGTTACTGAGGTACTGATCATTGACTCACCAATGGTTTTAAATATTCGAACACCCATGTCTGCTTCTGAGTTTATATTCTATTCATGTCTCTCAGCTATTACTCTATTCTTCCCTCCTTAATCCTAGTCCTTGCATTTTAGGTATTTGTGCTTGTGGTTTTGCTATTCACCCAAAACTTTTATTTAATTAATTGTATATAAACACAGAAACAAAATGTTCTCTTTAGTTAAGTTTTCCAGGCACTTACTCATTTAAATTTAAATAATTATTCAAGTAATTTATGCACAAGTTTTCCACAAAACCTAATAGTTCACAAAGGTTTAAAATGAAAATTTTCCACATTACCTCCTCCCATCCCCCCCTTCACCCCCCTGCTCAGCCTTCAAGACGTTTTTCCCCAGAGACAACTCTTGAAACTTTGGAGCTTGATGGTGGTGTTGTTTAAAATCTATCCAGAATGTTTTTGATTATCGTAGGTTACTTTGTATTATTTTTAGTTCTTACTGTTCTTACTTGCACTGCCTAAATATTAAACCTGAAGTCATTTTTGGACATTTCCATTGAAGTAGTATCAAAGTATATTGGTCAACTTTTGAATTCACTCAGATTTCTATTGCTCAGATAATTTAGACTTCATACCAACCATTGTTTTAATTTTAGACTTACCATGTTTGTCTGCTCTTGACTCTAAATTTTCTAATGGCCTTTAGTAAATCTTGTGAAATTCTTTTTCCTTTTTAAACTCACTGACATTCTAATCTGGATATATATGTGCTATAAGTAGGGTAGTAAGGAAGTGACTCTCTTAGTTTTGTTTTGTTTTGTTTTGTTTAATATTTGCAAGTGTTCACTTCTGTTTTTTTTTTTCTTCACAGCACACACACATCCCTAGGCTAATACCTGTCATAACAAGCAACTGTACCTCTAAGTCTGTTGCAGTTAGAAGGTAAATTTTAAAGGGTTTCCTCATTACCTTTGAATTGTTTGAAAGTCAAAACAAATTCCAAATCTCCCTCCATGGATAAAATTTCATGTTTAAAATGTTTAATATTATTTAAGATCAATGCAATAAGTACCTTAGGGTTGAATAATCAATATCTAAGTACTTTGGAAAATGAATTTGTACAACTTCTATTTATGTTTCTGTGTGTATATTCGTGTGTATGTGTGTGAGAGATAAGCTGTTTATGTGTATGAGAGAAAGAGAGTTGAGTTTAGGGGGAGTGGTAGAAGGAGAAGGGTTGAGGACCCCCTGTATATTTTTCCTGATATAGTTCTCCTACCTGTGTCATTGGTCTGAGCCATTGACAGTGAAGGCAGTAATTGCATGCAGGAAAAAAAATATCATAAACAAATGGCAGTAATTTCATATTAACATAGGTAAGAGGAGGTATGTGTTCTTTCTGTCTTCTATGAGTGATTTCTAGAATTCTGAATCCTGACCAGTCACTTGCTTCTGCACAATTACAGGAGATACACCCAGAAGCTACTACAGGCAAATACAACCTAAGCAACTAGATAGGGCTTTGTTCCTAAGTCCCTGTCTTGTCATACATCCTGGTGAACTTGCCCTAAACTACATGTGAGGAACAAGGACTGTTCTTTTAGCTCAGATCTGTGATTCTTGACTGTTGGGTCATAGAGTTTTAAGAGTCTGTTAAAATCTATGGACCCTCCTCCCAGCAAAATACAAATACACAGAATAATTTTGCGTAGGTTTTCAGGCATCTCATAGACAACACAAAAGCCTCTAAGTGGACCCTATCAGGAGCCTTGGTAGGGTAAATTAATGGCAGGCCTGGGCAGCCTCTTGGCCCCGTTCCCTCAGCTCCATGTCTTGATCTCAGCCCATTAAGAGAGGCCTTGACCCGAGGCTTAGAATCCAGCTGGCCTTAGCTGCCTGTTTGCCTCCTTTCTTGGGGTATCACGTTGGTCCTGCCAGGCTTCTACTGGTAAGGGACCTTTATAAGCACGAAGCAGCCCTGTGTTCATCTTTTTTTAAAAATTTATTTTGTTAATTGACCAGTAAAAATTGTATGTATTTATAGTGTACAGTGTTGATATATGTATACATTGTGGGATGGCTAAATCAAACCATTTAACAAACGTATTATCTCAAATAATTAATTATCAGGGTGAAAACACTTAAAATCTAGTCTCAGCAGTTTTCAGTTATACTACAATATGTTGTTATTAACTATAGTCACCATGATATGATTAGATCTCTTAAACTTCTTCCTCCTGTCTAACTAAATCTAGACTAGAAAGTGGCATGGGCAACAGGGTGGAAGAAGAATAAATATAGCCTAGATTGGGGAAGGTAAGGAATGAATGCAGTATAGTTTGGTGTCCTTTCCTTTGAGAAACCTTTTTGCCACCCCTGCCCCAGCTGCTGCCAGTGCCAGGACCAAGCTGTCTGGCTCTTGGCCCCTTGTACTCCTAGCACACGGCAACTATTTGTCTCTCTTTTTCTCTGGACTGTATCTTGGTTATCATTGTATCTCCAGCATATAGCGTAAGATAAGGGGCTGTTAAAGATTTATCGCTTGATTAGTTGTATGTATTAAAGGTTGTGAATTGGGAAGACCATGGAAAGGAAAGTCTGGTCATTGCTCTAGAGAAAAATTACCTTCTGATTTGTTTCCTTGAATGGGTTCTTAGGACTACTAAGACTTAATCCAACAAAAATAGGAACCCTGGATTTAGGAAAAGAAAATTTTAAAGAGGTGGGACCCAAAGTGGTGAGACAGTCCAAAGGAAATTAGACCGGAATCATTTTTGTGCACAAGTAAGACCAAGAAAAATCATAAAAGTGAACAGGCTTGGAAAGGAAGAATGTGGAAAGATCGAAGGGAGGAAGGCAGCTGAGTGGCTACAGAAAATGCATTCTCAGCACCAGCTTGGGCCTTTTTAGCGTGAAAATTTGAAGATGTTTTCTTTGCTTTTTTTATGTAAAGCATTCTCTGAAATTAGTGCAAAGACCTGATTCTGTAATGTACAATGATATTCTGTGCTTGTATGTATTCTGTATTAACATATTATTTAGGATAGCATAAAAACAAAGATAATGATAGGCCCTTTCAGTAATATTCCCATGAAGTTCAAGGTTGTGATTGGAAGGAAACTCTTAATCCTATCCCATTGTAGGTGCTTAATTACTTTCATCTACTTTAGTTTTCAGTCATTTCTGATTCCTTCTTCATGTTCCATTTTTCTAACCATAAAAATTAAAGGAAACTTACCAATTATAAAAAGTAGTGTTCGGTCACTTAAGAAGAAAGAAGATGTCTCATTTTCACTAACATATGTAAGTTATTTATTTCTTTCTTGACACTTTTCAGGCGCTGTTTTGAATTTTTAGATTTGCTTTTACAAGAGTGGCAGACACATTCACTGGAACGGTGAGCATCTGACTTAAAATTGTTTTTTCCTCTGAACAGAACTGAGAGTAAATGCCTCAGTGAGTGGTCCAACTTGCTTTCTATAAGACATGAAGAAATCTAAGCATTTGTTTGTATGACTGCTCTGTTATTTGACTGATGTAAGCCACATAATATTGGCTTTTAGTGAGTTTTGCTGGTTGAAATGTTGGTGTGCCCAGAGATGTGGGCACATGTGCAGTTAGACAACTACAAAGTCAGGACTAACTCTTTATTGACTCTGACCTTGCTGCTTAGTGTTCCAGTTCATTCCAATGAGGTAAATGTTTAAAGCTGCTCTTAGTAGGAAGGATGTAACTTGTAGATCCTTAAAGGAATTTCACTCATTTTAAAGTTTTTGGCCAAGCGTGATAGCACACACCTGTAATCCTAGCACTCTGGGAAGCCAAGACAGGAGGATTGCTTGAGCTCAGGAGTTCAAGACCAGCCTGAGCAAGAGCAAGATGCCGTCTCTACTAAAAACAAAAAAATGTTAGCTGGGCAACTAAAAATAGAAAAAATTAGCCAGGTACGGTAGTGTACACCTGTAGTCCCAGCTACTTGGGAAGCTGAGGCAGGAGGATTGCCTAAGCCTGAGAGTTTGAGGTTGCTGCGGGCTAGGGTGATGCCACGGCACTGTAGCCCAGGCAGCAGAGCAAGACTCTGTCAATCAGTCAGTCAATTAATAAATGAGAGATTAAAAAAAAAATGAAAGCTTTTTTTTTTCCTCCCTCTATATTTAATGTAGATATCCTACTTAATACTAAGATGATTATCTCACAATTTTCATAGAAACTAGTTCTGACTATTGAAAAATAGGATTTTGTTGTTTGGGTTCGTAAAAGATTGGGCTAAATAAGCATAATGGAGGTGGGGGTGGAAATCAGCTGTTATTTAAAATGTCTCAAGAGAGAGTAGGCTATCAGGGTCCTTAGGCGAGGCTGGGTTGGGGATGGGCTAGGGTCTTGGCACAGGATTGGAAGTTAAGGACCTGCAGGATGGTTCTGCTTTGCCCAGCTGCCTATTAATTGTCCAGCCTTGGCACCAAGGCTCTTAAGTTTCACATTGCCATTTTGAAGTTATTTCTCACATGTGAATTCATCTGTATAAAACCATACATTTATGATTGTTACTCTTTTTTTTTTTATAAATATCTAGACACATATCAGTATTAGCTGAAACGATAAAGAAGGGAATACATGATGCCGATTCAGAAGCAAGGATAGAAGCCAGAAAGTAAGTTTTTATTACACACCATTTTTTTTCATCAATTACTTTTCTGTTTTACATGCATCATAGGGACTGACTTATTTAAAACCCATTAAGTTAATTGAACATATTTTATTAATGATGACTTTTAAATATGACCCCAAAAGGTCATGGAATATTTCTCTGTTTTTTTGTTTAGAAGATTCACTGAGTGATATTATCTGAATATAAACAGGACTAAGGTAGACAACGGAACATTCACTTTTAAATTTATGAGAAATTATCACATAGATCAGAAATGACTTGTATGCATACTCAAAGTTTTATTTATTTAATTATTTATTTACTAATTAAATACTGTTAAAAGGCATGTCATCATCCAAATCTACCTTATAGATTTATCATGAAAAACCAGGGTCACAGTGAAATTTCTCCCTGTGTTCTCATCTTTGCATGCATTAGGTGGTTGTTCGGTGAGTGTGAATCGCAATAAGGGGAGTCGGATTGTCACAGTGATAACTTGCTGTTTCTGTCTTGCAATTGAGGTGCTTTTGCCACGAGGACTAGGTGTGTTCAGTCATGTGGCCACCATCCCTATATGCAGTACCCACCTCTCTAGGAATGATTTTGCCACTGCCACTGTAAATACCAGAAGTTTCTTATTAAGATTTAATGTCTCTTGAACAGTGTATAGATAACTACTGCCTGTTTTGCATCTGTGGCTGTTTTTTCTATACTCTCATAATTGACCAGCTCTTCTAATTGACACAAGCTAAAATATAATCTTACTAACCTGCAACACATGGTTTTCCTTAGCTGTATTAATACATACTTAATTGCTCTGACTGCTCTCGCAGTTAAGTTATATTTCTCTGAGACCAAGTTTCTGAGCTTATTATAACTCTGAAGCATTTGCTACAATCTCATCTTGGGTAGTTCTTAACAAAATAATTAATAGCTGCTAAAACTATTTAGGGATGAATTTGTTAATGATCTACTTAGTCTGTTTTTATCCTTGTATTGCATCCCTCCCGCCCCCCATTTTTCCTAGTTCTTTAATCATAACATAATATAGATTTCAAGTAGCTCTGAACATTTTTTCATTTTTCTTCTGTACATGCTACCTAAGGCAATTTAAATACTTCAAATCACAGAATGTCAAATTGCATTTATAAAAGCTACACATTAATGAACCCATCCTGTGTTCTAGGCATAGTTCTAGATGTTTTAGCTCCAACTTTCCTAAAGTAACTCAGTCTTGCAAGTTAGACCCTTTAATTTCCATTTTATAAATGAGGCTATGGTTCAGAGAAGTTGAATAACTTGGCCAGTGTGGAAAGCCAGTAAATGGTGAGGCCAGGATTCACCCGAGGCCTCCTTTGTTCACCTTCTCCTCTTTGTACCATGCTGCAACTATTACCAGGTAAACAGGATTCTACGTCTCAGGTATTATCTTGTGTACTCCAGAGTTTAGCGAAGGGCCTGTTAAGATCCTCGGACTAGACCAGGAATTTGTGTGTTTTCTCTAGATGTTATTGGGGTTTCCACAGTCACTTCAGCAGAGAAGCAGAGCATTTGTACCACACCTTGGAGTCGTCCTACCAGAAAGCCCTGCAGTCCCATCTGAAGAACTCAGACAGCATAGTGTCTCTGCCTCAGTCCGACCGCTCGTCCTCTAGCTCTCAAGAGAGTCTGAAGTAAGGAATTCAGCTTGCTTGTCATTAGTGTGAGAGTTTGTGTTTAAACGTTTGTCACCTGGAAACACAGATTACAGCTATGTTTGTATGTGAACATGCCTGTTAAAATTCCCCCTTCAGGTAGAATCTAGTAATAGAAGATGCTATGGGGAATGGTAAGATATAGGTGGCCTTGGTCTCTGCAACAGTATTTGTCAGTTAAATTTATATGTCAGTCCTAGAATACAGTTTTAGAATAACATAAGTGAATTATGGAATAGCATGAAGTATACACGCCACTGCTTCCTAGAGTCTTCTAAGAGGATTTAAGTATGAACCTAAAGGCAAGTTTGGAGATGGAGGGCGTTCAAAATCTAGGACTTAATATATCATCATCTTCACTCTGTATTTCTACTTTCTGTCTCAGTTACAGTTTTGGGCTCTATGATTGAAAGGTAGTCTAAAATATATTGCTAAAACTTTGTTGGAAATAGAGGTTTATAAAATTGTGGTTCATATTGTCTGACAAATTCTGAAAACTCTGAAATAATTCTTCATTATCATACTTTCCCATTGTGGTTTGTACTTGTGTTAGTGTCCATAAAGTACACATTTGATAATAAACACATGTATACCTCCATTTTCAGTCGGCCACTCTCTGCCAAAAGAAGTCCTACCGGAAGTACCACATCTAGAGGTAAGTCCAGGCGTCCTCAAACTATAGCCGGCAGGCCACATGCGGGTGTTTTTGCCTATTTGTTTTTTTACTTCAAAATAAGATATGTGCAGTATGCATAGGAATTTGTTTATAGTTTTTTTTAAACTATAGTCTGGCCCTCTAATGGTCTGAGGGACAGTGAACTGGCCCCCTGTTTAAAAAGTTTGAGGATCCCTGGGTAAGACTAACAGCTGCTGAGAAGGCAGCCCGTGGGAGGCCTGTCTCAGCCTCTGTGCCCTCAGCTTCTTCCCAGGCTTGAAGGGTGTGCCGGCTCTGCCTCTCCTCAGCATAGCTCCACTTTGCTAGGGCCAGTCGCCACTGAGGACATTGTCAGGGTGACTTAGGCAGGCAGGAATGAAGCCCTGTGACCTTTGCTCCCCACCTCCCTCCAGCATGTTGATACTGCCACAAATTATGCTGCTCCTTTCTCTGATCCCTTGGTAAGAGAGTAAAGACAGCTTGTGATGTTCTGAGCGGCAACAGCAGCTTGGTGGCTGTTAGAGGTGGGAGAGGAGCGTGTTCTCTGAAAGGGGGCAGGGACCTTAGTAAGAGCGCACTGCACAGTTATGTCACCTTGTGAGGGGAATGGCCAGACAGCAACATTTTTTTTGTTATTTCACTTCTTTTCGTAATAACCAGGAGTTTGGTCCATTTCTTTTGGGTTTATTGTCTTTGAGTATATGAAAAAAATTGTAATGGATACTTTATAGTTGAGGCCACTTTTAGTTTTCCTCAGCATTGCCTAAACTCTGTCTTTAGTGACCAGGAGAAACTGTTGGTCAGTCTGTGTGCTCCAGCATTTGTTAAAACTTGATAGTTGTTTTGAAGAAAAGCAAAACAATATCAGGTTTTAACAATATGTGTTTAAAATTCTATGTAGTCCTTACTAATGTTTCCTCCTCCACTGCTAAAGCTTCCACAGTTAGTACCAAATCTGTGTCAACAACTGGGTCCCTCCAGCGGTCTCGAAGTGATATTGACGTGAACGCAGCTGCCAGTGCCAAATCAAAAGTCTCCTCGTCTTCAGGCGGGACACCTTTCAGCTCTGCCGCAGCTTTGCCTCCAGGGTCGTATGCATCCTTAGGTAACCATAATGCGCATCACCTTTTCCCTACTGTTCTGCTGTTTGAGATAACTCGTACCTCTTAGCAAACTTCAAAAACCCATAATTGAAATCCTCACTGTTACAAGGCTGATATTTAAGTGTGAATAATTTTGTGTACTTATTGCTGGTTAACAGCCACCTTTTTTGAGTAGTCCTTTTCTCTGGAGCATCATCCTTTTTAGTGATGAATAAGTACATTCATGCTCACAGGGTATGTGACGCTGAGCACGTCCTTCCCCCAGCTCACTTCGTCTTCCTTGGTGGCCAGCCCAGCCCAGCCCGTACCTAAGCTGTCTCCCGTATTACAAAAGCTGGGTTTTCTCCCCTCCTGACACTGGGGGAAGCATAGCCAGAAGGGTTCAGTGAGGGATTCATCAAAGATAGTTGTTGTCGTTAGGTGTTTCTCAATTTGAGAATATAACTAGAATGGAGGGAAATGGGGTTGGGGTTGGAGAAGGGATGCCAGGAGAACTTCACAGGAATGTGATGGCTCCTTAGCCAACATAACCACATCTGTACAAAAGTGTGTTGTCCTTCCACGTGTCATCTTAGGAGGAGCATGCCCTTATTCTCATGATTGCCCAAAAGAGGTTTTTAAAAATTATTTTTAAAAATTTTAATATCTGGTAGATGAGTCACTCATTTTTTCAGCAGACACTTAACACCTACTGTGTGTAAGGCGGATAGTTTAGTCATTCAAAGGCAAAATCTAGGGACTTAACTGAGTTGTTTCTCTTTTGCATTTTAAGGAAATGAATAAAATTTAAACTTCATGAAATACTGAGATTAAGTTACTTGTGTGGCTTACAGATGAAATCCAAGTCAATTCTAAAAGTAATGTTCTGAAAATATTTGGGCATTGGAAGCACTGTTGAGTGAACAGCATTGCACTGTGATGATTCCTGGGTCTGCCGTTCATTAGCCCTGTGACTTTGAACAGACCATGGAATCTTTTCATTTCTTTTCTTTACCCATAAATTACTTGTAATAATAGTTACCTAGGCCGGGCGCGGTAGCTCACGCCTGTAATCGTAACACTCTGGGAGGCTGAGGCAGGTGAATCGAGCCCAGGAGGTCAAGGTTGCTGTGAGCTAGGCTGATGCCATGGCACTCTAGCCCCAGGTGACCGAGTGAGACTCCATCTCGAAAAAAAAAAATAGCCACCTAAGTGGAATTATATAAAGGTTCTTTATAAATTGTTGTCCTGTAAGGTGGAAAAAAGTGTGATGTGATGGGAACATTGTTAATTTGAAAGATATATGTGCTGGAACATTTGTTGCGTCAGTTTTGTTTTCTCTTTGTAAGTAGCTCATGCACACACACATTTGAAGAAACTCAGTAAGAACTCTTTTTTTATTGTTTTAACTATTGCATCATTGTGTAGGAGTTAGGATATGTTGCTATGTAATCATTGAGCAATGGAGAGGTAATAACTATTCCCTCTTATGGTGAATTAGTTCTATTAATTTTAGTTCAATTTTTAAGTATTTACCTGTGTTTTAATACATTTGATCCACCTTTAATGGATTTACAGTTAGTATTTTTTTCATTGCTGAAAAATGTGAATAAAAACCAACCTTTAGAGTACTTAGTATTCTTAACATTTCTGTGCATATTTTGGGTGTTTGAATATGGACCATGTGTAATTTCCCCCATTGCTAGTAAAAGCCACCAGGCCTTTGGGTCTGATGATATAGAAATGTCCCTTAAGAAGCACTGATAAGTTTTCAGCCCAATACTGCCTCTTCAAAGAACAAGACTAGAGTATTCAGATTCTTTTACCATTGCCTGAGAATTCTACCTCTCTATGTTTTATGTCCCTAAATTAAAAAAAAAAAAAAACCAAAAAATATGAAATATAATCCTACTGAGAATTTGTTATAATTGCTACTGAGGCTTATACATGACATCTTTGCAAAAGTGTAGAATTAAAGCTGATGATCCTTTTCCAAACTTCTAGAGTCCAGACACATGAGGGAAGACATGGAGTACATAGGCCTGAACTCAGGTACCATGTGACACAGCTTTTGCTGCTGGGTGTGTAGTTGGGATAGGCATTGCTAGAGCTAGCTTCTCTGAGCTTTTTACTTGCCTCTGCCCTTTGGGTGACTCTTTAGTATTTTAATTTCTAGTGCCTCCCCTGCCCCCTTCTGTCAGTACTTTCTTCCAGGAAAGAGGAATTCTTAACAGGATAAGGGGTGGCTAAAACAAAAAACAAAATCACACTTTCAACTGTGGCACTACCCTGGGTTGCCCTTCTGTGTTTTGTTTTCCAAAGACAAAAAACATGTTACATTGTGCTAAGCTAATTTCAGTATAAGGCACTCTTACTTGCTTCAGACTCTGCTTTGCTGTTGAACTTGTTTCCCATTTAATTTTGTTTTAAATTGTACTTTTGCTTTTTTAGTAGCTAATAACATTCTGTTTTTTAATTTTTTGAATGTTACTAACTGTTCCCTGTTATCCCTTCCCTTGTTTTTTAATTTGCTTAAAGATGGTACTACCACTAAAGCGGAGGGTAAGCGGTTTGTTTCTGTGATTGAGGTGTGTCTCACTTTCTCTGGTCCTCTGTTCTCACCGAGTGTTGCCCAGTGCCCACTTGTCCTCACCAAGGCCCCTGCATGAGATGTTGCACGCCATTTCCCTTCCTCTCTTCCACATTCTGTCTGATCTTCGCCCTACTTCTACCTGTGTTCTCCTCTCCCTTTCTTGTTCAGTCTTTGTTCTTGTGAATTTTGGCACTGAAGTATGCTGTGTGGTTTTCAGCGCTGAGTCCACACTCTGGGGAGGAGCATTGATGTCGCATTGTGTGCTACTGTCCTCACGGACTGCTTGTCTCAGATTTTGTTACTCCTAAAGCACCACCTTAGCTTTTGTTTCCTTTTCTTTCATTCTGTGCTTTTGTGGGCCTCTCAGGATTTGCCTTTCCTGTTTTGAAAATAAATTTCAGTATCTATTATTCAGATTAAAGGCTGGTAAAGGTTTTCTACCAGGTAATTTAAAGAAATTTAAAAAATACTTTTCTCTCTCCTAAAGGTACTACTGAATTATACAATGCCATTTTTTATTTGTCTCACTGACACATGCCACATTCATTCATTTACTCTCATTCATCTACTCATCAGCCATAAATTAAATGCCTTTTGTGTGCCGTGTTCTATACTACACACCAAGGATATAGCAATGATGAAAGAAATAAACATAGCAAACTTTACCTTATTTTCTTTTTATGCCATTCCAAAAAAACTTTCTGATTTAATATTACCTTAGACTTAGCTATTCCAGTCTGTGCACGTCTTTGATTAGCACATTTTAGACAGTATCATTTCTTTGGAAAGTCTCTAGATAGAAAGCAGCATGATAATGCTTCCAGTAATTGTAATTTAGAGGAACCTTATCTGCGTAAGATAGTGACTTAGACCATCAACCCTCAGGGTAATGACTTAATAATTAGGTACAGCTAGCTTATTTTTATGTATTATTTAGCCACCCAAAGGGCGACCATGCAAAGTGGGTTGGGTTTTAGCTTGATATGTGCAGTTCAGTAATCCACATATTAATAATACTTCCCAAGGGACTCATAAAGGCAAAAACAGAAATGGTATTTTTTAAGCTGAACATAGTCAGTGTTTCTTAAACTTATTATAAAAATTACCTACATGTTTACTTAAAAAAAAGAAAAAAACAATAGTCCTAGATCCTTCCCCTGAAGATACTGATTAATTTGGAAGGAGCCAGAAAATCTGAACTTCCAATAAGCCTTACTTGGTGATTCCTAGTGTTAAACAAGTTTGTGAAATGAAAAGCTTCCAAAATGAAAAGATGGACAAGAAACTTCTGTCCTGTTGAGGACCTCATTTGTGATAGCTGAAGGCTGAGGCTGGTATAATTGCAAAGCTGGTTGATGGTTTTTTTCTTCTTCTTCCTTTTTTTTTTTTTACCTGATAAGAGTAATCTATTTTTCCTTCCTAAAGAAACAATCCTAAGTACTTCCTCAACCTCACTGGAAGAGGGAGTGGAGAAGTGGAAGAGAATAATGTAGATGAAATGAAAAGGAAATACGGACAAAGTTGTATTTTTTTCCAGAATGCCCTGATTTCATATATAACAGAATTGTTATCAGCCTGTTATTCTACCCAGCCCTGGGGATTTTAACTTATTTTCTTTTTATGAGTTTCACAGCCCTAAGCAAGGTCAGAATTGCCCTCTCAGTGATTGTGCAAGAGACTAGCTCTCTTTTTGGTTCTCTTTCTGGTAGGAGAAGTGGTGGAATGACATACAGGCCCTTGTTTTTATAGAGAGCACAGACACTTACAGTAGACAACCTTGCACAGTGAGAGGCCCCAAAGAAAAAAAATTTTTTTATAGTGTGGCATTGTGTTAAACCTGGTACACAGGTTTAATTTCCCATTTGTGACTGAAAAAGAACTGTAGCAGCAGTATTAAAAAACCATGGGATGTGAAGATTCTTTAGTCCGTGCAGATTGAACGCTTTGCACTCCTCTTATAATTCTTTGTTCTCCTCTGGGTCTGCTTTTCTCGGGGCAGGTTTGTTTGTTTGTTAGTTAAGGTGTCTCTTGTTTGTTCCTCCCTCCAGAATTTTTTTGTTGTGCAGTTCTCTATCTCTTAATTTTTTTTCTTTCACTCATGCTGACGTTTCTTCTTTCACATCTATTTTCTTTCTGTCTCCGTCACTTAATACATCATAATATAGAGCTGAAGTATATTTTTACTGTTTGTTGCATTTATCAAGACTTTGTTTTTCCTAAAGACCATAGAGCATTTTATATCATCTTTTAAAAACATATACAGGTACTTTTAGTAGTATTGCCAACTCGGTAGACTGGAAACAAAATGAAACAAAAGACCTCTCTATATATAAAATAAATATTAATATATATCTGAGTATAACACAACTGAGGCCCGTGAAACTACACAGCTGTGTTCCTCCCAAATTAAGGAAAGTTCAAAACCAGCAAGAAGACCAAAAACTGTAGTGACAAGTTTGAGCTAATTTCTAAGGCTGCCCTGAGGGCTTATTTATTAATGTGAGTCACTAGGGCAAACAGAAAACAAGATGTTGAGCTTACCCAAGGTGAAAGTGAATGTATTAAGCCAGCATTGTCAAAGGGCTGTTTATCTGTGAAAGGTGGACTAGTGGGGGGAGGGGAGTTTTTATCTTCAAATTGACAAAATATCATCTGTCTTGACTTTGTCCTGGACAGAGGAAAAAAATAATCTTCCCTAACAATTTGTAACTAAGCTCTTTATTCACACATGTGGTTTCAAAGTTACTTTACCTATGGTGTCTGGAAAACTCCAAGCTGATGAATTAAAGTGGTCTGTGTTTATAAGCCCCCAAGGGTGCCTGACAGGAACCAACATTGAACTTGAGGAAGCTACTCTCAATTCTTGTTCCTCAGGATTCCTGTGCACTAAAATCATAGTCCCAAATTACATTTATCATGAATGAGAGGCAGGAGAGAAAAAGTATAAAAACAGAATGTGTGGTTAGGGACGTAAGGATCTGTATAGAATATAAAATAACTTTGTTTAAAGTGTTTAAAAGAAAAAAGAAACTTGCATTTTTTAGCAATATATAGAATTTATTAGCCAGAATGATCCTTCTAATTGAGAATACATCACTGATATGGAATAAAAGCAATGAACCCACACAGCTCCAAACCCAAGCTCGGCAGGAACCCTAGTAGGTGAGGGCCAAAGCCGACTTTCACCCCGAGGTTTTTGGCTGAACCCTGGAGTCCTTGGGCATTTGCTGTGATGCATAAAGGTCAGGAAGTAAACCCAAACCCATCTAAGACCTACATTGTCACTGGCAAACACGAAGTTAACTTTACTAAACGAAAAGGGACAACAGGGAAATTTGCCTGTCTTAACCTCAGTATTGATTAGAGGAGGGAAGTAATCTCCCTGGAGAATTTACAGCTATAAGGTGGGCCTTCATGCTGGGTGCTGGTCAAAATTTATACTGCCTTTCTGATCTGAAAAACCCAAATAGATAAATTATTTTAAATTGGCTGTGGATTACTTGTGTCCACAGGACACAAACAAGCAAGCACAGATCCTCTTTGGGAGGAATTCAATCTAGATCTTAAAGAACTCCCATGAAGTTTCAAGAAAAGTGGTCACTTCATTATCTTACTATTTAAAGAAGTAAAAAGAAATTCTGGACCAGGTGCAGAGGCTCACACCTGTAATCCTAGCACTGTGGGAGGCTGAGGCGGGAGGATTGCTTGAGCTCAGGAGTTCAGTACTGGCCTGAGTAAGAGTGAGACCCTGTCTCTACTAAAAATACAAAAATTAACTGGGTGTCATGGTGTGCACCTGTAGTCCCGCTACTTGAGAGGCTGAGGAGTTTGAGGTTGCTATTAGCTAGGCTTATGCTATGGCACTCTACTCAGGGCAACAGAGTGAGACTCTGTCTCAAAAAAAAAGTGTGTTTTTGGTTTTGGAAATGAAGAGACTATTAAGATTAGTCAGGCACAGTGGCTTATGCTTATACTCCTAGTGCTTTTGGAAGGCTGAGGTGGGAGGATCACTTGAAGCCAAGAATTCAGGACCAGCCTGGGCATACCCTGTCTCTACAAAAAGTAGAAAAACTACTAGCTGGGCATAGTGGTGTATGCCTCTAGTTCTAGCTACTCCAGAGGCTGAGAAGGAAGGATAGCTTGATCCAGGAGTTCCAGGTTACAGTGAGCTATGATCATGCCACTGTACTCTAGCCTGGGCAACAGAGGGAGACCTTGTCTTTAAAAAAAAATTAAAAAGAATGACCAAGCACCCATAACTATGTACAACTATCATGTACCCATGATAATTAAAAATAAAAAAATTTAAAGAACAACCAAGCAGGTTTTGAAAAAGAAAAAAATGAAACTTCTATAAATAAAAATATAAATTATTAAAATTTTAAATTGCGTGGGCAAATTGAGCAGCAGAATCAATGTAACTGAAGAGAGAATTCATGAATAAAGACAGGAAGAAATTATCTAGACTACTGTACAAGGTTGGAAAATATAATAAAGATGTTAAGTTACATGGAAGGTAGTAAAATTCCATTTGTCTAATTGGAGTTTGATAAGAGAGCGAATGAGGCAGAGACAATATTTGCAGATAATGGCGGCTATTTTCTAGAATTGATGAAAAATACTAAAGCACAAATTCAAGAAACCTGGTGAATTCCAAGCCAGGCAAAAATCCATAGTTAAACATGTTGTGGTGAAATTGCAGAGCACCAAAAACAAAGAAGGTATTGGAAGCAGCTGAAGGAAAAAAGAGACTACCCATGAAGAAAGTCAGAAGTTAAATGTAAATAAAACTGGGGAAATCCAAGTAAGGTTGCTAGAGCATATCCATGTCCATATCCTGTTTCTGATTTTTTACTGTCGCTGTGTAAGATAGTCCCATCAAGAGAAACTAAGTAAACTGCACCAAGTTCTCTCTGTATTATTTCTTACAACTGCATTTGAATCCATCTCAAAAAGGTTTCCTTTAAAA